AATGAACTCAGCACTACGACAAGCAAGGTAGCAAAAAGGAGCCTGGACACAACTAGGCTCTGGAACGACTACGTGCTCCAAATTGTTACTCGGTAGAACAAACTGCGCTCGGCTACACTGTTTTCTTCAAAGGACGGACGTAGTGCATCCAAGGCGGAAATCAGCAGCACGGCGGGACAACATAGACCAGGGGAAGTCGACAGGCATCTATCTACCCAAGCCCAATGTGATGCAGGATCAGGTGTTGATCTGTACCGCACAGTCTCAAGACAGACGGCGAGGATCAACCCAGAACTACCGGATGAAGAAACGAAGCCCACATCACAAGACTTCCTTCAACTGCCACCACGTACTTCTAAGTACAATGCCGTTGCGGGATTAGTCTACCTCTAATCCCTATCACAAGACTTCCTCCAGCTACGACAAGACAAACAGGAACTACAAGATACGCCCGGGGGCTGCTCTACCTCACAAAGTACCATATTCATGACTATGAAGTTTTCAACAAAATGTTCAATGGATGAAAGCGAGCACCCCAGGAGGGTATTTATAGATCGAAGGAGCGGCGCACATGGACTAGGAGTACCAACGAAACAAGCCTTTCAAAGGACACAGTGAAAAGACAGGACTCAATAATGGAAGACTCTGAAGGAACAGTACTCGAAGACGAGCATATTCGTAAGAATATGCCAACACTGTACAACCCGTGAACAGGCAACATTTACACTCAACCACCACCATACAACTACACCTGACAAACAACAGACTACCAGAGAATACGCCAAGAACAATGCGTCCAAGTTCTTTTAGAATCAAAGAATCTAGATAAATGCTCAGAGGCTACAACAGGAGAAGATTTTAGTTCCTCGAACAAATCAGACTCAAAACCCTCCAACTCTTTGTTCCAAACAGCAAGAGGCTCGGGGGCTACACTCAGTGAGTGCACTTTTTTCAAAAAAGCGCACATCACTCGAAAGACTTCTTCAAGTCAGCAATTTTAAAAACAACATAAGCTACACTCAGTGAGTGCACTTTTTTCTTCGAAAAAGCGCACGCCACCAAGAAGACTTCTTCAAGACAAAACTACTTCAAGTAATCATGATAAAAAGAAGCCGAACCGAGCTATATCCGAGTTCTTTTTGATAAAGAACCCGGGCACATGCTCGGGAATATTTCAACGAAGGATCAGAGCGATTTCAAGACAAGACCCCCCAGCTCCTTGTTCCAAATAGGAAGAGGCTCGGGGGCTACACCCAAAGGGGAATACTTTTTTCTTCAAAAAGGTACACTCCACGCGAAGATCTCACAGAGCGCTACACGGGTTCGCTTAAAAAAGTACTCGGACGACGCTTATTCCTGCTCGGTAAAGCCTGAAAGAACAAGACGAGGCTTCCAGAGCTCAACCATGAAGTGCTCGGGGGCTTGTCGGTGCGGGACTCACAGGATACCCTACAAGGAGGAGAGAAGATCTAGTCTAACTAGGATTCTTCCCATGTAATCTTAGTAGTAGTATTATCCTGTAATCCTACTAAGAACTCTCATTGTAAACCGACTAGAATTCTGACCTCCTGACTATATAAAGGAGGGAAGGGTTCCTAGAGATGACGATTTCGACAACACAATCAATTCAATGCAAAGGCTAACGCCGACTGGACGTAGGGCTATTACTCGATCAACGATCGAGGGCCCGAACCAGGATAAATCGACTGTCTCTTGCGTTCACCGTCGAGTTCCGCATACGCTGAAGCCCGAACAATACTGCCCCGGGACCCCCGTGGTAGGCTATCGGTGGTCAAACATCGACAACGTCCCGATATCGTCGCAGTAGTCTGTCAATCACCGTACCTAAACGTAGTATATATATAAATATAAACGATAATCGATTGTTATGTGTGTACACTCCCATTCTTCTGTTAATTTGCGAAAATATCATGTGAATTACTTACCTACCGCAGTAAAAGACGAGAACACAATGACCATGGCCACGGCCATGAAAAATGCCAACGACACAACACTAGCAACTTTCTCGGCAAGCATAGTAGTGTTAAACGCTCTGGAAACCTTTAAATTTCAAGCTTGCATATTTACATGAAGGAAGGTTAAAGTAGCTATTAAAAACTAGTATTCACCGTTCATTTGTAGCATGCATAGCACACTTCATTGTTTAGAGATATAGAAAATTTTAGAGTTTTTTTTTTAATTTTATTTGTTTATAAAATGAGAAATTTATAGTGTATTAAAAAATAAGTATAGAGAGTAGATAGCAACTGCTTTCGGGTCCTCGGCCTCTCATGGGTTTCCAAAGCGATTTAGGCCGGGCCTCCCACTCATTGCATGCTATGAGTTGTTTCTTCGGTTTTATGAGGACACTGGTTTGAACCTTGCCGAAGTGCTTGCTGAAGGACCATCTGCTCCGGAATTGGATCCTTACAAGAAATTTATACCAGGCCAGAGTCTATACAACCCAGAGAAATTAGGTGAACTGGGTACGCAAATGTACCTGCTAAACGGGTGGTACATGTCGGCGTCTGATGCGGAACAAATCTATCTTTCTGTTAGAATTAGAAACCACCATTACTTCCGTGGCAATGACATTATCTATGTCGAGCTTCCAGAATTACACCAACTATGTCACCTGGACTCTCTCGATAAAAGTCTCATTAGCTGCTATTGTCTGTAAGTGTGATTATTTTGTACTATATTCACAATTTCTTTATTATATATTCACAATTTTCATCTATGCAGATATGAGATGACAGAACTTAGAAAGAGAAAGGATAATGATGTTGGGTTCGTTGATCCGTATGTCGTATACAAACACCCTAACCCCCCGAAGGATTATAAGTCTCAACCTGAGAGAAATCTCATAAATTTCTTAGTGAACCAACGCGACAAGAAGGAGATACTCTTTCCCTACAACGTCAAGTGAGTGTTATTATAAGTAATTAATGTCGATCATATATATGGGACATCAATATTTTTTTACTAGCTAGTTACCTCTCTCACACACACATGTATATATATGTTTATGCAGCAATCACTGGATATTGATGGTCATCGATATGGCCAATAGTAGATTGAAAATCTTAGACTCGTTGAGAAAACCGCAAACGGAGTATTAAGACATGATAGATATTATACAAGGGTAATTAATTTAGTTTCTCTAAAACAACATATATATATATATATAATGGCGCCGATCTCTCAACAATTATTAAAGGTTAAATTATTTTTTATTTTATTGGGAGTAGGGTTTGAAAAAGGTTCATTGAGGAAAAAAATGAAACATTGCAAAGCCTCACTGGGTGTAATCACACACAAAGTAAGTACTATAACTACACATTTATATTCAATTAACACCATATGATGATTTCAATTCATCCTAATTGATTTTTTTTGTCGTAAAAGTGGGTTCTAAGGCAGGAGCAGGGTAACAACTACTGCGGATACTATGTTTGCGAGTTCATCATGGCGTACTCAAAGAGGAACTCCTGAAGAGCAACTCAAAGTACGTATATAAATACTTTTTCCTTTATATTATTTTGATCGTATATTTACAATTTCTTTATTGCTCTCATTTGTATAAGTAATTACATGAGCAATACACATATATATATATATTAATACTTTTTCCTTTAACTTTTATTGAAGACTGAATGGTTGAGGGAAAGAGTCATACGACTTGACCGACTTAAAGCAATTCGAGAGACTATAGCAGGATTTCTAAATGACCAGGTCATCAACCCCAACGACGAGTTCTACAATGACCCGAACGAAACGTGGATGCCAAATCTGGAGGAGTGAATTGCTAAGGACATAAACAATTTATATATCAAATCTTTGTAATATATATATATATATATATATATATATATATATATATGTATGCACATATTATATGTACATAAAATAAGGTGTGTATATATATGATCATCATATAGATATGCATGTACGTGTATATTCATTTGTTATTTATGTACAAAGTTCGAACAAAAACTTACGCGTGCGAAGTACACATATATATTACTATTAGCAGAGTATTCGAAAATGTATTTTAATATCAAAACTAATCATTAAATGAAAAAAAAACAAAAAATAGAAACCAGAAAAGGGAAAAAAGAGAAAGACATTTAGTCCCGGTTGGTAACACCAACCGGGCCTAAAGGTCCTACCCCGTGGCAGTCCCTGGCCAGGCCTGGAGGCCCCCTTTACTCCCGGTTGATGTTTCGAACCGGGACTGAAGGTCCCTTTAGTTCTGGATTGGTGCTCCCGGTTGGAAAACCGGGACTAAATGGGTCCCAGCCGGGATCTGCACCAGTGCCTGGTGATCGAGGTAGACAAGAAGGACTATATATATGCGTGCTTGGTTCCTTACTGACGTGATAGATTATTACACACCCCACATGCATGATGCATGCTTGCTTGTGCGAGGTCAGCAGCAAGCATCGAGATGGAGCGTCGTGCGCCGTGTGGGCACATCACATGCTTGTGCCCAAACTTGTCAAAAAGCGGTGGTCTCGTCTCGGCTCGTCTCCAATATAATCCATGCATATGCATGCATGCGCTTGTCGTCTTCGCTACAGATGCATGCCGGCCGTCAACGTCTCTATCGGTGTCACGCGCACACTCGCTAAACAAATGGTGCATGTATAAGCTAGCTAGCTACCTAGAGACGCGTCTACCCGTGCTGCCTTGTTGATCCTTGTCAAACAAGCACATACTGGTTCAAAGATACTCGTACTACACTAGTATTTTCTTAATTTGCCTATAAACTATAGTGAATGCCTAGTGCCCTAGCTATACGTACGTACGTTCACGGTTCGAGGAGACCTGCTATTGACTTTTAGCACACCGATCCAGGGTGTCACGCATGCATGCATGCATGACGTACACGCCTACGTGGTCGACGATGTATCACTGACACTGCAATGCTCCTTCCGAGTTGCAACGTTTAATTTATACGTATATTAGGGCTGGTGGCGGGGGAGGTGGCGCTGCGGATGGGCGTCGCGCCGGAGGCCAAGACGCTGGTGGCCAGGCTGGAGCGGGTGAGCGCCGCGGTGCGGGACGCCGAGGCGCGGGCCGCGTGTGGGGACGACGGCGCGGCGCGGTGGCTGGCCAATGTGCGCGCTGCCGCTTACGAGGCGGACGGGGCCGTCGACCGGTGCAGGGTCGCCGTGCGCCGGCGCAGGGCCCACGAGCAACAGAAGAGCCAGCAGCAGCACCACCACCAGGCAAGATCACCACTTCGTTTCATATATAGAGCTATAATCACGGCACTTCTGCAGCGTCTGTTGCAGGTTGCATGACGTACACGCCTACGTGGTCGACGATGTATCACTGACACTGCAATGCTCCTTCCGAGTTGCAACGTTTAATTTATACGTATATTAGACTCTTTGGATGGACTAAACTTAGGATACCAAACAAAGGTCTAAACATTATCTAATTATAGACTATTTGATAGGAAAAAGAAAATTTTAATTAGTCAATGTTTAGACTATTATCCAACAATAGCCTAAACTTTAAACATGTCCTAAACTCTCAATAATAGCAAAGCTCATGCAGCACACACTAGGTGGAGTTGGTCATTTCACGCACGACCATATTGATCGCCATGGCTCGTTGCATTATTGTTGTACTACTTTATGCTCGATTGACGACACTCACCGGTTTTCAATTTTTCTACACAGCTACGAGTAGAGTGTTAGAAATAGTTTGTGACGTGTTGATGTGTCAATGTAAATCCTGGGCAGGACGGCATGAGAATTCATGGTTATAGGATTATTACTAAAGATAGAATCTGTAAAATAGAAACTGCTGTATAGGATCCTACAAACATGGGACTCTCATGCCATAATCACCGGAGGTTGTTGCCTTGTATATGAGCTGCGCTATTGGCGTTATAAATCAACACGTACAGCGCCCCTGGCTATCATCTTGCTAAGCGCTTCCATCATCTGCCCTCTGTATTTTCTACATGGTATCAGAGCCACAAACACTCAATAGATCCAATTGCCGTCCACCATGTCTTCTTCGACCCCCCATCCTAACAGCAACCCTCTCTCGGGCGGCGTTGTGATAGAGAAGCTTACCAGGAGCAATCACACCATCTGGGAAGCCCAGGTGCTCTCGGCCGTACGCGGTGCTCACCTGTACGGCCATCTCACTGGTGCCTCTAAGCCACCGGTGACAGAGATTGAGGACAAGGATGGCAAGAAGGTCTCCAACCCGGCGTTCAAAGAATGGGAGGCACGGGATCAGCAGATCCTCAGCTTCCTTCTCACTTCCGTCTCTCCGGGTATTCTCAGCCACATCGCCAAGACAAAGACGTCGGCTGATGCATGGGCTAAGCTTGAGGCCATGTTTGCCTCACAAACCCGTGCGCGCGTGGTAAATCTGCGCATCTCCCTCATCAATACCAAGAAAGGCAACTCATCTGCTACTGATTATTTCACCAAGATGAAAGGTTTCAGCGATGAGATGGCGGCCGCTGGACGACCAATCACTGATGACGAGCTGGTTGAGTACATACTCACCGGCTTGCCCGCGGAATACGAGTCACTGGTTACCTCTCTCGTCACGAGGGTGGAATCGGTGACCATCGATGAGCTGTATTCACAGCTCCTCAACTTTGAGACCAGGATGGATCTGGTCCAAGGCGGTGACCAGAGCTCGACCAACATGGCCGGCCGTGGAGGAGGCCGCGGTAGTAATCGTGGCCGTGGTGGTCCCTATCGTGGACGTGGGCGCGGCCCTCCAAATGGTGGGGGTCGTGGTCGCGGTCAAAGGAGCAATCAGCAAGGTGGCGGCTCCAACAACAAGAAGCAGGACAAACCGATCTGTCAGGTGTGCTTCAAGGAGGGGCACACTGCAGCTCGTTGTTGGCACCGCTTCGATGAGGACTTCGTCCCTAAAGAAAGGCACGCAGCAGCGGCAACCGGTTCATACAACATCGACACCAACTGGTACACCAACAGCGGCTCCACTGACCACATCACCAGCGAGTTAGAGAAACTCTCCATGCGTGAGAAGTACAACGGTGGTGATCAGATCCACACCGCAAGCGGTGCAGGTATGGCAATTAAACATGTTGGTCAATCTACTATTGTTACCCCTAGCTGCAATTTCCAGTTAAAAAATGTTCTACATGTACCTAAGGCTTCCAAGAATCTTGTTTCAGTTCATCGATTTACTTCTGATAACTCTGCCTACATGGAATTTCACCCCACCTATTTTTTGGTTAAGGATCAGGCAACCAAGAAAACTTTGCTTAAAGGTCGTTGTCATCGGGGGCTATATCCTCTTCCTTCACCGCCAAAACAAGTCCTCACGGCGTCTCGCCCGTCCCTGTCTCAGTGGCATGAACGACTAGGACATCCAGCTTCCCCGATCGTTCGTCGCATCATCAGCAATAATAGCCTTTCATTTGCTTTAGAGTCCAATAATGAGCATGTGTGCGATGATTGTCAACAAGCAAAAGCACACCAGTTGCCCTATCCTAAGTCAGTGAGTCAATCTAGTGCTCCTTTGGAACTTGTGTTCTCTGATGTGTGGGGTCAAGCTATCGAGTCTGTTGGCAGAAAACAGTATTATGTTAGTTTTATCAATGATTACAGCAAGTTTACATGGAACTACCTCATTAAATATAAGTCTGAAGTCTTTTAGAAATTTCATGATTTTCAGAATCTAGTTGAAAGGTTGCTTGATCGTAAAATAAAAGCCATCCAAACTGATTGGGGTGGTGAATATCAAAGGCTTAGCTCCTTTTTTACTAAAATTGGCATCTTGCATCATGTTTCATGTCCTCATGCGCACCAACAAAATGGTGCCGCCAAGCGCAAACATCGGCACATCGTTGAAGTTGGTCTAGCTCTTCTATCATGCGCCAGTATGCCCCTGAAATTTTGGGACGAAGCGTTCCTCACAGCCACATATCTCATCAATCGCCTTCCTAGTGCAGTCATCAATTTTACTACGCCCCTGGAGCGCCTCTTTGGTCAAAAACCAGATTACTCCCCCTACGGACGTTTGGTTGTGCCTGTTGGCCCAATCTTCGCCCGTATAATGTCCATAAACTCCAGTTCCGCTCTAAGAGATGCGTCCTTCTAGGTTATAGTAATCTTCACAAAGGGTATAAATGTCTAGACATTGCATCTGGGCATGTCTATATCTCTAGAGACGTCACATTCGATGAAATAATTTTTCCTTTTGTCGAGATGCATCCCAATGCGGGTGCTCGTCTGCGCTCAGAGATCCTCCTATTATCTCCTGATTCCATGGCTACCAAAGGGGACAGTAGTTTGGATGATCAACATGTTAATTTGCCTGTTAATTTGCCTAATGAATTTAACAATCCTGGCGGAGACTCTAGTTTGCCTCAGGTGCTAAATACAGACGATATCACCGTTGGAAGCAGTGGCACGGATCACGGAAACGATCCCCGGCCGATTTCTGCGCCCACATCGTCAGGCGGGTCTGGCAGCCAGCTGATCGCTCCTGTTTCCACTGAGGTGATGTCGCGTGGGGGCCAATCAGTTGCGCACCCGCTCTCACCTGTGGCCGAAGTCTCTCCGACACGGCCTGCGCCTGATTCAGGCGCGGGAACGACGCCACCTGATGCTGAGACACGGAGCCCGGGGGAGATTTCCACTGGTGAATCCTCTGCTGGTACACCAGAAGAGGCCGCAGCTCCTTTGCGGCCGGTAACAAGGCTCCAGCGCGGCATTCAAAAGAAGAAAAATTATACTGATGGCACGGTCATGTACGGGATGTTAGCAAGCACTGGTGAACCGACTGATCTTGCTGATGCACTACAGGATAAAAATTGGAAATAGGCCATGAACTCTGAATATGAAGCACTGATAAGGAAAAAGACATGGCACCTAGTTCCGCCACAGAGGGGAACCAATGTTATAGGGTGCAAATGGGTGTATAAAATCAAGAGAAAGTCTGATGGGAGTCTAGATCGTTACAAGGCTCGCCTTGTTGCCAGGGGCTTCAAGCAAAGGTATGGAATTGATTACGAAGATACATTCAGTCCAGTAATTAAGGCTGCAACTATTCGAGTTATATTGTCTCTAGCTGTATCTTACGGATGGTCTCTTCGCCAACTCGATGTGCAGAATGCATTCTTACATGGACTCTTAGAGAAGATGTATACATGCATCAACCTCCTAGTTTTGAGGATCCAAACCGGCCTAACTATGTGTGCAAACTTGATAAAGCTTTATATGGGTTGAAGCAAGCTCCTCGAGCATGGTACTCCAGATTAAGTGAACGGTTGATTCAATTGGGGTTTAAAGCATCCAAGGCTGACACATCCTTGTTCTTCTTTAGTAAGGGAGGCATCACAATGTTTGTTCTTGTGTATGTCGATGACATAATTGTGGTGAGTTCCACCTGTAACAATCCAAAAATCCACACACCAAAAATCACAACTACAAAATTTTTGTTTAAACCCTATGTGATGATGAGTGACACATGTAGAAGCCAAACCCTAGTTTTGGATTAGATGTGACCCAACTAGGTTAAAATCATAAGCATAGTTTGGTTTCATGCCACATGTGTAATTAAATTCCTAAATAAATAAATCATGCATGCACCCTTAATTCAACATGGTGATTTGGATTTTATTTGGGTTTATGTGTTGATTAACAAAAGCTAACAAATATTTGTTTATAAATAAATGTACTAACATGGGATTAATATCCCAACATATACTAAGACCAATGTTTATCACCATGGGACATTATACCAAAGGAGAAATATGCCACTTGATTTATATACATGAAAGAAGTGTAACATAATACAAAAAGAAAGAGAAAAAGAAAAGGAAATAGAAAAGAGGGAGGCAGCCGCTCAGCCGAGGCCTGCTCGGCCTTGCGAGCCAGCCCGGCCAAGCCCGCCTGCCCTCCCACTCGTGCACGCAGCCCACAAAGCCGGCCCAGCTTCACCTCGCCACCCATGCGCGCAGACGCCGACCGTCGGGTCCCACCTGCCAGCCCGTACCACTTCACCGCGTCGCGATGCGCCTAAGCCACACCCGCTGCCAACCGGACCCCACACATCAGCCACCCCAGCAACAGGGTCATCTTCCTCCCCACGCCGACCTCTCCTTCTACCGGGAACCGACCAGAGCAGCAGGCGCAGGCCCGGGGTCACGCAAAGAGCGTGACCCTGTCCCCTTGGTGTAGCGCTCACGCGACCCCCACAACAACTGCCCCGCGCCCGTGAGCCATCGGATGCACCGCACGCATCACCACCACACGATCGCCGTCCGCCATTGGAGCCCTTGGAGCTCGGCTAT